ATTCATGCATTCAGCCATCCATTCATCCATCCATCCATCCATCCATCCATCTATCCATCCATCCATCATCCATCCATCCATTCATCCATTCATCCATCCATCCATCCATCCATCCACACATCCATCCATCCATCCATCCATCCATCCATCCATCCTTCCATCCATCCATACATCCATCCATACATCCATCCATACATACATACATCCATCCATCCACATAATTCTAATTAACCGAACACTTCAAATGTTCAACTAAGCTGAACTGTGTAATGAACCAGGAATATAAATGATGTGACCTGTCACTTTCTGCCTTTTTTCTTGTACAGAATCTTGAACATGACCTCTTTGATCCTAGTAGGTTTTAGAATATTTTATACTTTTTGCCAATTTGTGTATTTTGCAGATCTGTCACTTTCCTCTCATACTTTTATTATTACAAAAACAAACCGTCATAGACAGGAGACTTTAGTTTGAAAATGTTTATCCAAATATATATATATATATATATATATATATACTGATAAAAAAATATGCTGATACATTTTGAAATGGCATATTTGTATACAGCTGTAAGCACATAAAATGCCACCCACACAGTATGAAAAAGCAACCTCTATGTTTGCGGTGGTGGCACAAAGTGGGGAAAGTCACTGTTTTTATGTGGCTCCGACTACATCTAGCCAAATGAACCAGCCGTGCCCCTGAGCAAATGTTGCCAACCAAAAAGGCCATTGCTTTCTCATTACCAGTGTCCAGGTTCTTCAGTCAGTATGTGCACCCCAACATTTTCTTTTTGCAGTGAATTCTATTGGAGGATCAGCTGTTTAAGGCGACCCATTGCTCCAATGCTATACCCATCATAAATCATGCTGGTGGGAGGGTAATGGATTTTACCTGTTATACTAGCTAAAGGCGCCGACTCAGCCAATATATCAAATCACATGAGTTGAGAAAATCATTAAATCACCCGTTATCTCTCCACGCTGGCTAAGCAGCAACGAGCACATCCCACAGCAAAGAATTCACTATTTTTGCTGCAAGTAACAGGTGAATACAGGTTTTTGCAGCACTTTGATTAAAATCAGTCCTGCTGTTCCTGAGATTCAGGCAATCCTTCCTAACATTATATTCAATAATGTCTATGTTTTTTCTTCCTGACACACATAATAATTGCTGCAAATGTGAGGAATTTACAGCCATGCCTCGAGTCGTTTCTGCTGGACCTGTGGAGCAGCCGACTTAAAGAGCAAATGTCACCCATTCAGTCACTGAGTTGACTGAGTCTGTAGATAGTCTGTCTCCATGGCAACCAGAACGGGGACACATGCTTAGCAACACAATTACATTATTCGTCCCTATTAACTATCTCCATTTTGTATGTGTAATGACACGGCACCTTCATATTCATTAAACCTTGCACATTCCTTTATCTTTTTTTCTTTTTTTTTTGATTTTGCTTCACCATGAAAATAATTGTAAAAAAAAAACAGGAAAAAAAAAATACTTCTGTTCCTCCAAAATAGCGTGAGAACAGTTTAAACTGTTTAACTTCAAAGAAAAACCAACAAGGTCCCTATAGGAATTGAAAAGTGTTGGTGATCATGTTTGATTCTTATTGATTTTGACAGTTAATCAGCGATGAAATACATGATGGCAATTACTCTATATAGCCCTTCAGTTAAGATAAACACAGTGTAGTACTTAATAAAAAAAAATATATACATTTTTTTTTCTTAGATGATTTGTTGAAACAGATCAGTCTTTTTTTAACTTGCTTTACTGCCATTTTCAATCCTAGAACTATAAAAACAAAACAAATTAAAGCCTTTTTTTAATGACTTACTACCTTCAATGTCAGACATTAAGATCCCAATTTCGAGAAATGCCAAAGTTGTAGCTCTTTTGTTCACCTTTGTATATAGCATTATGTTTAATGTCATATCATGTTGCAACATCTAACATGATCCACTATCCTTTAGTGTTTGTGTTGCAAATGATTATAAGCTATTATCATGCCAAATGATAACTTAAAATCTGTAAAAATCACTGATGTGTAGCACTTCTTTTTGTTGTTGCAGTGGCCATTTTGGATTGGATCAACTCCTAAAAGTGATTAGTTGCAGACATACATCTATAAATACTTATTGAGAGTTTAATTAAAACCCTTTCAGTGGTTGATGAATCATTTTGCTAACAAACCATCGAGCTGTCATTTCTAACCCAAACCTGGAGCTTGGTCCCGCCCGGCCCAGATTAGGGTCACGTTGGGCCATAATAATGTGTTTAATGTGCGGGCTGGGTCAGTGTCAGGCTTTTGATTGCCACCGTGTCGCCTTTGTTAACAAACCAACACAAATAACCCAAACAATGTTTTAATCAAAGAGGTCATGGTGCTCAAAGTACATGTTCAACATAATTTTGGATTACTACCACACCATTTTTTTTCTTCTCAAAATATATTTTTTAATTGTCTATGGTATAGTTATAGTCATTATTGTGTTTTTTTTTTTGTAGATAGTTGGTTGTGGCACTCATCTTGAATCATTTAGACAGCAACAGTAAATCACTTGTAGACGTCAAGCCAATGATTACCTTCTGAAAGTTTCATTAAACTCTTATATGAACAAATGAGCTGCAGGTTCAAACTCAATTATTGCTTATGCTTTTAACCTTTATGAATCTTTCCACTCGAACTGAAATACTATATAGACAATATATTGTTTTAAAATCAAAAGCTACGTGCACAGTTTCACAAAGATAAACTGATTTCTAAGGATTGAACACAGTTGTATCCAGTGGAAGAGATATTTCTGTTCTGTCCCCTGGCCAGTGTGGGAGTGCGTTTAGCGTGTTCCTGTTTCTTCGCAGGTCATTCTTAAGACTGGGTTCACCAACCCAGGCTTCGTTAGTGCACAGAAATGTCCTTCTCAAAAAAAAAAAAAAAAAACCCTGCACAGTTTTAGGCAGGCTGGAGTGCTGATTGCAGATGTACAGGAGTTGAGATGTTGGATCAGCTGGGCGCTACGCTGTGTGAGGGCTCCTTGTGGGACATGGTCAGACCTCATAGTTGGACTGATGTTTAGCTGCATGTAAGACCCCTCACCTTCTGCTGTACAAGAACCCAAGCAGCAGTGCCAGTGTGGTCTGTGGGGGTTTTAAGGAAAAGGTTTTGTTGCTGGAAGGAATATGCCATCATTAAAAATAGCATGGAACAAAACTGGTTGATGGGAGTATAGGAGGAGATAATAAGGACTGGGACGGGAACTTCACTGTTAGTCTTGAACTTCAAGTGTTCACTGTTTCTTTTTGACATTCTTGCATTTTCCCCCCAAAAAATGTATTTATATTCCCCTCATGTTTTAA